TGTAGGGCTATGGGAATTCTATATGGGCCAGTGGGATGCTATGGGGCTAGTGGGATGCTATAGGGGCTAGTGGGATCCTATATGGGCTAGGGGGATACTATGGGGCTAGTGGGATGCTATGGGACTAGTGGGATTCTGTAGGGGCTAGTGGGATTCTATAGGGGCTAGTGGGATGCTGTGGGGCTAGTGGGATGCTATAGGGGCTAGTGGGATCCTATATGGGCTAGGGGGATGCTATGAGGCTAGTGGGATGCTACGGGGGCTAGTGGGATGCTATATGGGCTAGTGGGATGCTATGGGGGCTAGTAGGATGCTATGGGGACTAGTGGAATTCTGTGGGGGCCAGTGGGTTGCTATGGGCTAGTGGGATGCTATGGGGGCTAGCAGGATGCTATATGGGCTAGTGGGATGCTATAGGGGCTAGTGGGATGCTATGGGGGCCAGTGGGTTGCTATGGGGCTAGTGGGATGCTATGGGGGCAAGTAGGATGCTGTATGGGCTAGGGGGATGCTATATGGGCTAGTGGGATGCTATAGTGGCCAGTGGAATGCTATGGGGGCTAGTGGGATACTATAGGGCTATGAGGATGGTATATGGGCCAGTGGGATGCTATATGGGCTAGTGGGATGTTATGGGGCTAGTGGGATGCTAGGGGGTAGCAGGCTGCAACATGGGCTAGTGATTTGCAATATTGGCTAGCAGGCTGCGATCTGGGCTAGTGTGGGGCAGTAGGGGCAATGGGGATGCAACACGGGCCAGCAGGATGCAGTAGTGGCTAGCGGGATGGCCGTATGGGCTAGTGGGCTGCAGCAGGAACTTGGGGCTTGACATGGGCTAGTGGGCTACAGTATGGGCTAGCAGGATGCAGGATGGGCTAGTGGGCTACCATATGGGCTAGGGGGGGCTGCAGTGTGGGCTACCAGGACACATGGGCTGGCAGGCTGTAATATAAGTAAGAGGGCTGCAATATGGGCCAGTGGGCTGCAGACTGGGCTAGCAGGCTGCAATACAGGCTAGTGGGCTGCAACGTGGACTAGTGGGCTGCAATATGGGCTAACGGGCTGCAATGTGGGCTAGTGGGCTGCAATATGGGCTAATGGGCTGCAATGTGGGCTAGTGGCCTGCAGGATGGGCTAGTGGGTTGCCATCTGGGCTAGCAGGCTGCAATACAGACTAGTGGGCTGCAATACGGGCTAGCAGGCTGCAATAGGGACTCGTGGGCCTTGATAGGGGCTAGTGGCCTGCAATAGGGATTCATGGGCTACAGTGGGGGCTAGCAGGCTGCAGTAAGGGCTAGCGGGCTACAATATGGACTCGTGGGCAGCAATAGGGGCTCGTGAGCCTCGAGAGGGGCTATCAGGCTGCAATATGGACTTGTGGGCTGCACTGGGGGCTAGTGGGCTGCAATACAGGTTAGGGGGCTGCAGTAGGGAGTCGTGGGCCTTGATAGGGGCTATCGGGGTGCAATATGGACTCGTGGGCTGCAATAGCGGCTATCACGCTGCAACGGGGGCTTGCAGGCTGCAATATGGACTCGTGGGCATTGATAGGGACTATTGGGCTGCAATATGGACTTGTGGGCTGCAATAGGGTCTATCAGGCTGCAACGGGGCCTCGCGGGCTGCAATATGGACTCGGGGGCATTGATAGGGACTATTGCGGTGCAATATGGACTCGGGGGCTGCAACAGGGACTACTGGGGTTGCAATATGGACTCGGGGGGCTGCAATAGGGACTATTGGGGTGCAATATGGACTCGTGGGCTGCAATAGGGGCTATCAGGCTGCAATATGGACTCGTGTGCTGCAATATAGACATTGATAGGGTCGATTGGGCTGCAATAAGGACTCGGGAGCTGCAATAGGGACTATTGGGGTGCAATATGGACTCGTGGGCTACAATAGCAGCTATCAGGCTGCAACGGGGGCTATCAGGCTGCAATGGGGCCTCGTGGGCTGCAATATGGACTTGGGGGCCTTGATAGGGACTATTGGGGTGCAATATGGACCCAGGGGCTGCAATAGGGACTATTGGGGTGCAATGGGGATTCTTGGGCTGCGATATGGACTCGGGGGCTGCAATAGGGATTATTGGAGTGCAATATGGACTCGTGGGCTACAATAGGGGCTATCAGATTGCAACTGGGGCTCGTGGGCTGCTATATGGACTCGTGCGCATTGATAGGGACTATTGGGCTGCAATATGGACTTGGGGGCTGTATTGTGGGCTATCAGGCTGCAACGGGGGCTCCTGGGCTGCAATATGGACTCGGGGGCTGCAATAGGGGCTTTTGGGCTGCAATATGGACTCGTAGACTAAAATAGGGGCTATCAGGCTGCAACGGAGCCTCGCGGGCTGCAATACGGACTTGTGGGCATTGATAGGGACTATTGGGGTGCAATATGGACTCGCGGGCTGCAATATGGACATTGATAGGGACTATTGGGGTGCAATATGGACTCGGGGGCTGCAATAGGGTCTATCAGGCTGCAACGGGGCCTCGCGGGCTGCGATATGGACTCGGGGGCATTGATAGGGACTATTGCGGTGCAATATGGACTCGGGGGCTGCAACAGGGACTACTGGGGTTGCAATATGGACTCGGGGGCTACAATAGGGGCTATCAGGCTGCAATATGGACTCGGGGGCTGCAATAGGGACTACTGGGCTGCAGTATGGACTCGGGGGCTGCAATAGGGACTACTGGGGTTGCAATATGGACTCGCGGGCTACAATAGGGGCTATCAGGCTGCAATATGGACTCGGGGGCTGCAATAGGGACTACTGGGCTGCAGTATGGACTCGGGGGCTGCAATAGGGACTACTGGGGTTGCAATATGGACTCGCGGGCTACAATAGGGGCTATCAGGCTGCAATATGGACTCGGGGGCTGCAATAGGGACTACTGGGCTGCAGTATGGACTCGGGGGCTGCAATAGGGACTACTGGGGTTGCAATATGGACTCGGGGGCTGCAATAGGGGCTATTGTGGAGCAATATGGACTCGGGGGCTGCAATAGGGACTATTGTGGAGCAATATGGCCTCGCGGGCTGCACTATGGACTCGGGGGCTGCAATAGGGACTACTGGGGTGCAATATGGACTCGTGGGCTGCAATAGAGGCTATCAGGCTGCAACGGGGGCTCCAGTGCTGCACTATGGACTCGGGGGCTGCAATAGGGACTACTGGGGTTGCAATATGGACTCGGGGGCTGCAATAGGGGCTATTGGGGAGCAATATGGGCTCGGGGGCTGCAATAGGGACTA